ACTATTGTTTAAATAGTTCCTAGCTTTTGCTGCTGGAAAGCGCTATATACATATTTTGGCCTTTGTTGGTGTACTATCTTTTATTTTGCTTCTCAAACATGTCAATTATTTAAAACTGAAGTTTTTCTAAAAAAAAAAAACAAATAGTCCTTGCAGCTCCAAGGATGGCATCTTTGAACATGAATGTGAGCCATGTATTATTATTAGTTCTTAAAGAACATGATGATTATCTTTTTTACAAGATTGTTTGAATATTATTTTTTTTGTTCTTGACAGTTGAGACCTTAACATGTTACATTAAGGTCACCATTGGTTGGGTCGATAGTATTGCCATATAATAGTCCATATTGATAAGATTTCATTGGTCCACTTGAGGTTTATGTTGCAGAGAGAAGTTGACCCAACCGTGGGATTTGTGGCCTCTTTTTTATGTTCTCTCACTGATGAATGTTTACTCTGTTGTGAAGGTTAGTTTAGTTTGCAAAACGTCGATGCCCCCATTCCCGAAATATATTTTTTAAACTGCATGCAATTGATCTGTGCATATTTAAGATGAATTTTTGTTGCTCTATCGATGTTGTTTCTATGGACCAATCATAATAGCCGATCATTCCACTTATGAAGCTTAAGAAACCAATGAAGGCTGTTTTCTACTGCCATTTTCCAAATATGTTACTGGCTTAGCATAGGACCATGCTTTGGAGGAAGAAATGAGAACATGTATGGTTGATCTTAGTCAATAACAAGTTTACGGGTTTTAGTTTTGCGAATACATTCAGGCATTTAAATGAGCATGGAATTAGACCAGCCGTGCTGTACCCGGTAGTAAATCTTGACCAATTGGACAAACCTAGTGAAGACACTGCTTTTGAAAGGAAAAAGAATATAGAATTGGCGATATTTGCCTTTGCCATGCTCTATAATAATCATGAAGGGGGTAGAAATCAATTTGCTAATATGTCTGATGCTTCCTTGACTATTGCAGGTGGATTTGATAAAAGATTAAGTGAGAATGTCGACTATCTTAAGAAGTTGAAAGCTGTTGGCCGAAAAACATGGTATTTCTGAATGCATCAAATGTGTCCCTTCTTGCTCTACTTCTGAAAGGAATACACTTCTCTCTGAATGCCTATTTTTCCTTATACACCAAAGGATGAGCATTTTGGCATTGTTCCTTTGGAAGCAATGAAAACGTATAAACCCGCTATAGCATGCAACAGTAGTGGTCCTGTGGGGAGGGTAGATGATAGTGTGACTGGGTTTCTATGTGATCCTAATTCATCTCATATCCTAGCCTGTCTGTGACGACATGGATTATGGAGTCATTGTGGTTTGACTTCTGTTATTAGCAACAAATGTGCAACTTTTCCCCATTTCAAAGAATTTTGTTTTATTAAAAAAAGCTAGGAAAATAATTGTGTATATCCTGAGGGTTATTTGAATGAAAAATGGGAGTTCATCTATGAGTTTCTTTGTCCTAGTTGCTTTCTATGGCGGTGGATTTTGGTTGGCCGAAATAGTGGATATCGGTTTGTATGTGTGATCGTAGATGAATATTAATAAAATTTAGGGAAATTACCCTAAATAGGAGTAAATGAGGTTTGGAATTCCAAAACAGTAATACTCACTAGTGGAAAATTTGCTTTTTATAACGGTTTAAAATGACTTTTTATATCGGTTGGCGAATCGATATAGAATCAGCAGTTATAGAATCTCGCGCGTCTCATTTTATAACGGGTGACTAGACCGATATGAAAAAGATTTAACGTCGGTTGATTTGCAACCATTATGGAAAGTGTAGAATTTTATACATAAAAATTTGATATTCTATATTAGTTGTGTACCGATACAGAAAGTCTTTTGAATTAATATTTCACTGCATCATCACTTTATCAGAATGAATAAACACATAACTGAAGTCTAATCACTCAACCGCCATACAATAGCTACAAATTTGGAAACCATAACCATTCTCAACTATTAAACTTTGGAAAACTATGTATGTAAACAAAAAAGAACTGTCCTATATAGATCAAAGAATACAACCATATCGGTGACACAGTATGCACTTATACACATAGTATGGTACCGCCGTACCGCTCGACCAAAGCCAAGGGTTTTGCGACCTCAAATTAGCAGCCTTCGCGCCAAGCCAGGCCGCCCTTATCTCACTCTCTCTCTCTCTCTCTCTCTCTCTCTCTCTCTCTCTCCATTTGAGACTGTTTGAAATTCATCTTGACCAGGGTGCTGTGGATATTCCAAAAGATCCCTACTAGCTTTCTCTTCATTCTCTACTGCTTAACTCTAACATCCCCTCCTGCTAATACCATCTTGGACTTCCTAAGTAACAAGATCAACTGCCGAATCATATTAAAAAGAATGCTAAAATATCTAAGAGTTTCATTTCATTAATTGAAGAATATAGCATATCAAAATCGTATCTGCTAGGTACCTGCTCTACATACACAATCACTATATCTCCAAAAAGTTATGAACGGATAGATGTCTAGCTTGATCTTTTGATGTCACCAATAGGTAGATACATTCCTGTAGAGGATTCAAGCTTGCTGAACAAAGAAAAAAATATGAAAAAGGATTCCACATTGCTAGCAAAGATATACTACATAGTAAGAAACACTACAAACTAAGCACAATATATTACACACGCCACAGTTAAATAACTATCGGATAAAGTAAATTTAAAATTATTAAGTTGATTGTTACTTATACTCCCTCCGTCCCAGGGAGAAGTTCCCGCTTTCCTTTTTTGGTAGTCCCAACAAAAAGTTCCCATTTTCCTAAATGGAAAGTTATCCTACATCAAAACAGTGTCAAACAGTGCAAAACAGTGCCAAACAGTGTCGAAACCGTGCCACACAGTGTCGAAACAGTGCCAAACAGTAAAATTTTCCCCTCAGTAACTTTATTTCCTAAATATGTGTGAAAGTCAACCCAGGAACTTCTCCCTGGGACGGAGGGAGTATTATTTTATTGTATTCCCTTGTATCAGCACTTAAAAGCATTAAATGTAACAAAATCCTGCAATCATATAAAAACCTATTAGTATATGGTCCAAAGAAAAGCAAAACATAGATAGCAAGGAGAACTGTAATTTGACATTCTGTTAAGGTCCATAACATCCGCTGAAGTGCATATCCTAGAAAATATGATTATCTTATAACCTGGGAAGTTACAAGAACCATTTAGAAAATACAGCACCAAACCACACACAACAACTACTTTTTAAAATGAAGGGAAGCTGGGGTTCACCAAAACTTTTAAACATACATAAAATAGATATGAACGGAAAAAACAATTAAAATAAATCACAATAACTTCAGAGTTATGCTTTCTATTTTTATATCATTAATTCACTATTAAAATATTGACAGCCAGATAGAGAGAGGAAACTCAAAAAAATGTTATAATGTGTTTGAGGTGTATAGAACTTACAATATGATGCATATTGACTCACTCTAATCTTTCACGGGGAAGACCTCTAGGTGCACACAACAAAGAAACTAAAATTAGTAACCACTAATTTGGGCAGTAAAGAATTTGGCTTATAAAATCTCATTACCCTCCCTTAAGATGATGAAGCTGCACCAGCAGACCAGTAGAAGCACTTCAAGGATCCAGGCTAGAGACCTGTAGAAGCACACATTATAGAGAAAATCATATCATGGGTTTTTAGACTTCATAGGCTTGATTAGCTTTTGCATATCTTTCTAAATGAAGTATTTGCGTCGACATTAGATTTTTTGAGTCGATTTTTTGTCGATGCAAAAAACGTTTTTTCTTCTAGTGCCGTACACACAACTTGTTGAGCTTCCATTACGATACACCAACTAAACGATGAATTTGACCTTATACTAGCTCATCGGAGATCAGTCCCAAAGAAGTACCTTGCTTTAAAGATTCGATTTCCAAGTGAATCTGTTTCCATTATGAAATGTCAATCTTGTTTCCCCATCATAGACACATTAAACTCCCTATGCCTGTGAAAACCCCAAATCCCCATCTTCTTAGGATATCAAAGCTCCTGCCATGATTTCTATCTAATTCCACGTTTAGTAAATTCAGCACCTCTCCACCAATATCCGTTCATTATCGTTTCTATTTTAGTACACAACTCCCTCGGTAACAAAAACACATTCATTGCGTATGTTGGCATAACTTGAATGACTGTTTTAGCAAATTCTCTTTCCAGGCTATTGATAGAAACCTATTATTCCACCCTTGAAGCTTTTTTACTATTCACTCTCTCAAATACTCCAAAATCTCTTTTTTCCTTCTCCCAATTAGAGCTGGTAGTCCAAGATAATTAGGTATATTACCCTCTTGTTGCACCTCCAACCGGTTACTTAGCTTACTGTCATCCTTATCCCTTCGCTCACATTTGGACTAAAAGTCAAGCTAAATTTACTGTAATTTATAACATGTCCTGAGACTAATTCATACTCCTTCAAAAGCTTTTTCACCACTTGTCAATCCTTCTCAGAAGCTTTAAAAAACAAGTAACTATCATCAGCAAAGAAAAGATGAGTCACTTTAGGCATGCCTGATGCTATTGCCACCCCCAACACTTCCCCGTGTGCTTGCTTCACTCGAATCATACTACTCAAACCTTCCGCCACAAGAATGAAAAGATATGGAGATAACGGGTCCCCTTGTCTAAGCCCTCATTGTGGAATTATTGGTCCCAACATTGTATCCTCAAAAGTAACAAATCTCTTTGTTGATGTACATTATCCCGGCCTAATACTATTCAGAGGCCCAAGATATTACCCCAAAATGGAGCCCGATCAATGAGTTTTTCACTTGAAATTACTTAAAACAAGCACTCATTTTATCTTTTCCCACACAAAAGAGTTCCTAAAACCCTTACAAACACTCCCTAAGGAAGTAATTACTTGGACTCGTTTCAGCTCCTGGTCAATCCAGAACATAACAAACAAGATCACACTTAAAGAGATTAAATTAAACCAAATCAAATCAAATAGAACAATAACATATTTACCACTGATTTAAAGAGATTAAATTAAAAGTTGTATCCAATTAAAAGTTATAACATCCTTGTTTTACCACACAAAAGAGTAAAAAGATAAAAAAAAAAAAAAAAGATAAGCTACCAGCTTGCACGGTTTACCCTACAGTCCTATTCAAGTTCTGCCACCTTTACGGACGGAGGAGTGTTCATTACACAAGTCAGAGCCTCTCCATCTCTCACCCTTAAAATCTCTTCCATCCTGCACTCTGTAGTATACTGGCTCTTCCAACCATGGACGGTTTCAGCTTACTCAAGTTCTGGCGCAATGGCGGTACTGTCGGTGGAATTAGCAGAATCCTCACCCGAGACGGCTGCGCCACTGCTCCTCCCACCGGCACCACTACCATCCTCACCGCCGTGACTCCTCTTTTATCCGACCCCGATTCGGACTCTGACTCAGACGGTCCCTTCATCGACTTGGAATTCACTTCCGCTCCGGAAGACGAACATGGACGAATCAGTGGTCGTGGAAATGACGACGGCGAAGATTCCGAGCAGGTTAAGCGTAATGAACAACATGCAGCTGAAGAAGTCGACGGGAGCGAGTCCGACGATTCGTCGTACAATGAGAATGAAGAAGGCGAGCTAAATTTGACTTTCTCTACGTCCTCCGGCTCGAGCGTTGACCGTACGGATCCGTACGGATACCTTTCTTCCTCAGATGACCTTTTCTGTAAAGGCGGTGACCTTTTTCCGGTGAACGATTCGGAAACCAATTCGAAATTCCAGGCGTCTCTGGTGAAAACGGCAACCAAATTCAGAGTCCTAATGTTGAAATTGAAGAAGGCGAAGGCCACAAATGCCGAACAGAAAGCCGAGAAATCACAGCCCGAAGGATCAAATCCAGCGAAACCAAGGCCGAGTCAAAAACAAATTAAAGCTGAGAATGAAAAAGATGAGAGTCAAATTCGGACGGAGAAGAGCTCTTTGACGGTGAGATTCAAGGTTGAAGAACTGAATATCATTAAATCTCTATTTATTAGGGATACCGCTTCGAAAAACGGCAACAATGGTGATGGATATTCGCATTCAAATGTCGAACCGAGTTCGAGCCCTAGCTCATTTCCAGACGAGAAGAAATTTTCCAAAGACATGATGATGGAAAAATACTTGAAAATGGTAAAGCCGTTGTACGTCCGTGTCTCGAGGCGTTACGGCGAGAAGTTGAGGTTTTCAGGACAGCTGAGTTTGTCCGGCGGAGGAGGAATAAAGGCAGCTCCAGTTGCACCGCCGCCGCAGTCTACGGCGGAGAAGGTGCTGAGAGGCGAAACTGCACCGGCGGTAGAAGTAGCTGAGAACGCGTCGGTATTGAGTAACGCCAAGAGTGTGAAGCAGGGGAGCCTACCGGCGGGGCTGCGAGTTGTCCGGAAACATTTAGTCAAAAGCCGGTCAGCGCCGCCAGCGGCGGTTGTGTCCGGTCAAGTGTCATCGCGGAGGCGTGACGACTCGCTTTTACAACAAGAAGACGGAATTCAAGGCGCCATTTTACACTGCAAAAGGTCATTCAACTCAACCCGAGGTAACTCAACTCAGTTAATTTACTTTACTGAAATTCCAGTTTATATTTTTAATTTTTAATGTAATGCTTAAAAATAATTGAATCTAATATTTTTAAACAGACTCAAATTTGCGCGTTTTATCTCGGTCAACGAGCGAAGCATCTCAAGGAAACCCCGTGAACTTGCCGTGTGATGAAATTGGACCCGTATCCCAAACGGGTTAATTGTCGATTTCTGAGGTTTCATAGTAGTTAGTTAATTAAGAAATAAATTGCGTAGTCTGTAGTAATAGTAATTATGGGTATAATATTAACATTAATAATTAGGAAAATATATTATTGCTTCTTCTCCCAGCCAGAAGAATCGAACCTTTGACTAAGTCAATGGTATTTTGCTAGCGATATCATTCGTTGATCCGAGAGATTCTCAGGCCTGATTTGGAATGGGATGAGAGACTGGTGAGGAGTGAGTTGTCAATTATGTGTGATGGTTTTAGCCTTTTACCCATGTAAAGTACGGAGTAAAAGAAAGGCGTCCCTTTTTACAGTTGTGGATAATTTCAGGCAATTGTGATGTGCTTTCACTTCCGTTCTCCATACGGTAACTCTATGCTTCAGCTAATCTTCAGCATTGAAGTCTTCATACATTGACGGTAATTATTAGGGTCTGACCAGTCTGGTGTCCGTTCATGATTTCCTCCATTAAAATGTTTCAATGATTCAAATTAAATTAGGATGAATTGCAATTGACCGGATTGGCTAATTTGGTGACATATACGAGTATGAACTATTGAGTGATTTGGTTATCCAAATGGATGGCTAGTTAGTTTTAGATTTATAAAAAAAATTATTATACTACGTATTTAAAATACAAGTATATTCTGTTAACAAAATAAAAGAAAAATTACATAGGAAAATAACTAAAATCATTTTGTACAGTAAGTTCAGTCAATATAGCTAGAAAAAAGACTTCAATCTTATGTTTCTTATTACTACATAATTTAGCGTCAAATCAAACGTTATGTGTTTGGTGAAAAATTAGTTATTAAAATTGATAAGACAGATAAGACTGATATGCCGTAAAACATGGTCACCAAATGAGTTCTTGAAGTCCTTTATAACCTCTATTATTTTTCGCTTTGTATCTTTACCAGATTGGCCAATTTTTTGTACAACAACAATATCTAAGCTTTAGTCCCAAAAGTTATTGAGGTCGGCCAATTTTTTGTACCAAATATGTAAATTTTGATTTTATGTTATAAATTTTATCATAGTCAGAATTAGTTTGACTCAAATAATTTTGAATAAGCATTTTGGTTACTCCCTCTGTATTTTAAAGTTTGCTACACTTTTCTTTTTGGGATGTATTTAAAAGTTTGTTACACTTTCCCTTTTTGATAAATTTTTTCCTTTAAAAATACTCAACTACTCTTACTTTTTTCACTTTTTATTTTCTCTTTCATACTTTGACACACTCTCTTCTACTTTCTCTTATTCATTACTCCTACTACTTTATCCTAAAACTTTGTGCCCAAACTTAACGTAGAGAACAACTAAATAAGGAGAGAGTATCTTTTTCACTTTTTTTCCCTTTATTTCATCATTTTAAATATAATAATGATCTCACGATTCACTATATTTAGCCAATTCAGTGTAATCAAGCGAATTTTTAATTCTACAAAATGTAAACCTATTAAAAATGAAATCTTTATAGCCGGGATCTGGGTCCATTCCCGAAACTATAATTTGCGGACCTGCGGATTTCGATCCGAAAATCTGCGAGCCGCGGTTCAAGTGCTGGACCATATATCCACCCCTCAATATTTGTGTGTAATTAGAAGGTTTCCTATTAGGATGTGCTTTTCAAGCTTGTCAAAAGTGTTGGAAGAAACGACTATAGTGGTCAGCAAATGGGGAAAGTTGTTACGGAACAATCACAAAATATCGTCTTTTCTCTTCTTTTCGGGTTCTCAGTTTGCTTTTGTTTTTATTTGAGCTGTGGGAAACTTAAATTTCATCCTAGTGTCCGACGATGCATCATGCTTGGTCTTTGTCTACGGTAGATGTTTTTTAGCTGGTGGTAAGGCCGTGAGAGGGAGTTGATGTTGAGCTTTGTTCCAAACAATTTGTTTTCTTGCGATTAAAACGTGGCGATGAACTACACAGGCAATTCTGTGGGTAGGGTGTTCATTTGCCAATTGCCACTAATCATTGTTTTTTGTTATTATAAGAAAATGACCTGTTTGGGAATTTGGGCTCGAGCCAAAACATACAAGCTAAGTAGCATGGAAACGTGAAATGGGAAACGCGAAAAACGTAATTTCTAAAAAATATAGGACACGAAACGTGGGGGAAACGCGTAAATATTATAAAATATAAGGATATATTTATAAATATTTTTTAATATATGTACACAAGTTTTTCCATATGCACATGTTTTTTTAATATAATTTGTTTAGTAACCAAATAATAAAATCACTCTACATGTTCGAATTTAGATATTATTTCATATTAGTACATAATTAAACATAAAATGTACGGAGTAATACATTTCTAGTAATACATTGTGTTACGAAATGTAACAAGTGTTGCCGCTCAGAAATATCACAAAAATTCACTATAAACATTATTTTCCACCACAGAATCTTTTGAAAAAGAAAAAAATTGGAATCCGAGGTTTCCGAAACGTAGTGAAACGGGTATCCAGATTTTTCTTAATTACGGAAACGACCCCGAAACGGGAATTTGAAGTTTTCGAGTTTCCGAAATGCTTCCGAGTTTCCGAAACGTGGAAATGAGCCATGGAGAGTTTCTGTGCTTCCTAGCATACAAGACGATCCATTAATGGCTCCTTTTTGGCTTGTTCATTATCTAGTCACTAATCACTACTAACTAGTCGGGTGCGCCCAACTCGTTCATTTTGTTCCACACTACTTCCACTCCAACTTGACTATGGGTTTTCTGGTTTTTTCATAAATGTTACTATTCCGACTTGAAAATGTTTGTCATATTGAGTTTTTTTTATTAATGGTAATTTTTTGGACAGTAATTTTAATTATTGTTTTATACTTCGTATATAATTTATAAATTCTACACTTTTATGAAAATATTTTTATAAGGAACATTTTGATATAATTTTTATATTTAAAATAATTTCTTATTAAAAATATCATTGGTCATAGTTAATTTCTATTGAGCAAGAAAAATCAATTTGGCGAACATTTTCGGAATGAAAGGAATATTATATTACAATTGATTTTCTAAAAGTGATTACTTTTGTACATGGATAAAAAATAGGACTAAAAACACAATAACATTGAAATTTTATTATGTCCCTACAAATTTAGCATGTCAAGTGTCAATGTTACATCGTAACTATTGCCATCACTAGTGTCACTATCAAGTATCAACGTTGGTGGTGTCATTGATGTCGAGTAGGAAAATTTGTTAAAAGAGTCCTGTAACTTTGGTCTATAGCCGATATTGATCCTATAACTTTACATACTTGCAAAATATATCCTTCAACTAATTTATTTGTTCAATTTGAGGACATTGCCGTCGGAAAGTTAAATTTTGGCCGGAAAGTTACATGTCAATCTCCCGTTGTTGTAATCTTTTCCTAACGTTTGCAGCTGACCAGGATGTGGGCCCTTTTTATGACTTATTCCAAAACACTTCACTGTGCTATGATCTCCCAAATCCCCCATTAGAACAATAAAAGCACAAAACCTAAGAGAAGAACGGAGGCTTCATAATTCTTGGTCCGGCTTCTCCACATATGGAAGGAAGGTGAGTGTGTGTTCCTCTAAAGTGCAAATAATGGCTCAGGCAAGGATATATGGAATATCATTGTGGTAAGAAGTATATGACGAGGGAAGGAGGTTCCATGTGTGCTCCAGAAACAGAGTAAGAACTCTAAACTTTTTAATTTTGTAGGTTTCAAATTTTGCTTGAAAAAATTAAATATTTTATATGTAGTATTACTTTGATATAAGAGGGGAAAAAATCTAATGTTAAAGGTTCTAACAAGACATTGGAACAAGAATAATAGTTGATTAGCAAAACTAACGAGTTGTCTTTTACCTGGACCGTTTCTATGGTTACAAATGGAGGCTTTTAAAATTGATAAGTGTCAAGAATTTTAAAAACAATAGCCTGAAGTGCAGTTTTTTCTTTATGTTCAGTTTAATCTAGCTATTTTTTTAATGTTTTATGAATCAGAGAGTGTTTTCTTTATATGCATGATGTTTTAAAATAAGGAGTGTTTGGGAGGGAACCAAAAACAGGGTCTCAAGTCCAGGTAAGCTAGGCCATATGAAAAAAATATGAACAAGTGGCGCTGGTGTGTTAATTTCTGGCGGAATTATTACTTTCCGACATAAATGTCCTGAAATTAGGCAAATATGTTAATTAAAGGACGTATTATGCAAGTAAATGAAGTTAGAGGACCAATATCGGGCACCACCAAAAGTTACGGGACTAATTTTACAAATTTCTCCGAGAAGTATGCCATTGTTACTATGGCTACACATAGGGCGGGTTGGGTTAGGTTTGCTACTCCCTATATTTTTTAGGCCTACCCAATTTGTTCGGGTTGGCTATTAACCAACCCGTGATACGCAAAATAAGTTAGTAAACTATACATGAACGTATCGGGTAGGGTCGAGTTTTGAAAAAAAATCACTTCGGGTTGCATCTTTCATGTGGGAAATTAATGTAACCAATTTGAAACTCGATTAACTTGTTTCCAAAAACGCACAAAAAATACAAGTACTCATTTCTTTTATAAGCAAAAAGATCATTCTGTAAAGGAAGTTCATTTAAAGGAAACGTAAATATATAATGGTAATGTTTAATTAAAATTCTAATATCATAAAGTCCTTGATAGAGCACATTCGTCTTAAATTAAAATTATCCAAAAAAAAACATTGTAGCATAATAATAGTAAAATGAACTTTCGGCCGGGTCGGCTGCAATCGGGTTTGAGATTTTAATTCTGCAACCCTACCCAATAGGTGCGGGTTCAAACATATTTAACCCATGAATATTTTTTAAAATCAAATACCCGATTAAATAGGGTCGGGTATGGTTAGGTCGGGCGGGTTATGCGGGTTCAAGTTATTCTTGTGCTGCCCTAATGGTAACCATCAAGTGAAATCCGGCGACTAGGCAACAAAAATTAAAACAAAATGGAAAAATTTCTGGTGAAAAGTTTGCTTGTAACTTTTGGTTGTATTAATTATTAGTCTTGTTTGGTAACTAAAGACTTTCCTTAGGAAAGTACATTTCATAATTACCTTGGGCATCACTAATAAAATTTGTTCATGTTAAAAGCAGGTTTTATAACTCTTATTTTTAGCTTATCAGTTTTATTATTGTGAGAGTTCGTTATATTTTTATTTTTTTCATAATCCCTGCCAACATTTTCAACCAACATTTCATCAATTTCAGCAAATTCAGCCAACTTCAACATTACCAAACACGCTATATTTTGTTCCCCGGAGTCAAATTTTCCACCAAATATAGTACTCCGATGAAAAATTCTTTCGAAAATGCTATGTGTACATCTAATGTACACAAGATGTACACCATATAAAAGGGCAAAACAAAATATTTTCAGATTTTTTACCCCCTTCCCCACCTCTCTCCCACACGTGCGAGCCTCTTCCCCTTTCTCCCGCCTCTCCACTCCACTCTCCACTTCCTTCCTCTTCGATTTTATTTTCCGATTTCTGCGCATACCCCCCACGCCGTTCATCCTCTTCGTCTAGCACCGCTGCCTCTGAAGCCGTCCACCTCTTGTCACCGGCGCCTCACCGTCTTCGTCTCCAAGCGCCAACCTCGAAGCCGTTTCCACCGGAAGAAAGGTGGCGCGATGGTTCATACTTCACTGTCATCTCTTGCTAAGTCTTCAAAAAAACGGTAATATCCACTTCTTGAACATATTTGTGAGTAGTATTGTTGAATTTGACCCCCTATTGTGTGGTATGTGTTTGTTGTATTTTTTTTAAATCAATATGAGATTTCGAAGGTGAAAGTTGAAAATTAGAGTTTGATGAAGTGAGAAGCACTGTAAATGGTGGTGTGGGAACCTTAAGGGGCCGGATTGATTGTAGGAATTTGATTTTGTTTGGGAGATGGAAATATAATGTCTGTGGGCAGACGGTTAACCTTGTTCAATTGATTTTCATGGAAGTCGTTTTATATATTTACGTGTGAGTTGAATTGTCTGTAGTTTGTGATTCACACTTAATAATTATTAATTTATTGAAATTAATAATTGGTATTTTTGAAATTCACACTTAATTAACATTATTGATAAAATTAGAATGACAGTGCACTATATAGAGTGCACTATATAGGAGGGATTTGGGGTTGTTAAGTGACCATGTTGTAGGATTTGGAACATCTTTGGGACGTTGCATTGTGTGGTATGTACAATTAAAGTAGTAGTAACTGATTTAGTATGTACATGAACGAGTTCTTTTGTGTAATTCGTAGGAAGAAGCATGAACTGATGGTTCCGGTTGAGTCCCACTTCCCGGCGCAATATTCTTTGTGCTCATCTTTTGGGAAATATAAAAACTTGTTGGCTGCTATACCAGCGAGTGAGCAGCAAAATTTTAAGAACCTTCCGTGGGGACATTTGGCTGAAACTCCAGAACTCCAATTTTCTGGGCAGATTGTCCATATGTTGTTGTTGCGGATGGTTCGGAGACAACCTGTGGATGAGCTTTGGTTTTCTATACGAGGAAAAATCTTTAAGTTCACTTTTCAAGATTTTTGTGCTATTACTCATCTTCCGGCATACACAACCAGACCCCGTTTTGTGAAAAACAGTGACAAAGGTAGTGTGGCTAAGTTATTCTTTAAAAGACAGAAGCGTGTCACATACGAAGAACTGAAGGAAACAATGGCGGCATTAAATCCGAAGAGGAGGGTTGACTCCTTAGCAGTTGTGAAGTTGGCTTCTCTTTTTGTGGTAGATTGTATGTTGCTGGCTAGAAACCACGACACAAAGATCAATGCCAATCATCTTGACTGGGTGGAAGACTTTGAGAACTTCAAAAAATATCCTTGGGCCCTTGAATCTTATAACCTAATGGTGTCCAATATGAAGTCGTTGATGCGTGATCAACCGGAGAAGTATGAGGCTGCTGTAGCTAATAAACCGAAGTACAAGAACTGTAAGTTCACTGTTTGGGCCTTACCCCATGTCTTGCAGGTTCGTTTGTACATTGTTTGATAATTGCGTAAATCATCTGTGTGACAATCTGTTTAATCTGTGGGCAGACATCTCATTAACAATTTTTTTGGTTGTGTATTCAGGTTTGGGCGTATGAGAAAATCCCTGGGCTTGCTCCAAGATGTGGCACCAAATTCAAATCTGAAGAAGCTAGTCTTTTCAACTAGAAAGCTACAGGATTTTTTCACTGTACTACTTTGAAGGAACTGGTTTTTAAGGAAGAGCCTTTAGAAGAAACCGTAAGAAGTTGTTAATTATATTTTTTAGTAATACACATGCACTAATATCACAAGTGGTTCCAGTGGTTCATTCCAGACTCACAGACATTTATACTTGGGTTCAACCAGTGGTTCCAGTGGCTTAATGTCTGTGGGAAGACATTTCATTCCAGTCTCACAGACATTTATACTTTGGGTAATCCAGTGGTTCCAGTGGCATAATGTCTGTGGGAAGACATTTCATTCCAGACTCACAGACATTTATACTTTGGGTCAACCAGTGGTTCCAGTGGCTTAATGTCTGTGGGAAGACATTTCATTCCAGTCTCACAGACATTTATACTTTGGGTAATCCAGTGGTTCCAGTGGCTTAATGTCTGTGGGAAGACATTTCAATCCAGTCTCACAGACAAATTGAGCCGGTTTCATGCACAGACAAATGAATATAATGTACCTTAGCTTTTTTCTTTCCCTTTTCAATAGGCCCTTTTTGCCTATTCTTTCTCGGAGCGCCTTTACGTTTTGTCCTCTTTGGATCTTCAATAGGAACAATTGTTTGTCCGTTCACGCCTACGACTTGGATTGGCGGGGTGTCCGTTAATTGAGTCATTACTCCACAAATTGACGAACGACCATTTGACATGTTGCATTTTTGTAATTCACCTTCAACCCATGTGGAGACGCGTTCATAATGTTCATCATCATCAGCCACACTATTTGCAAGTCTTTCAAAGGTGGTGCATAACTTGTCAAACCGTTGTTGCTCTTTAGTCGTAATCCAACCATCATAGTTAATTTTTACTCTTGTATATCCTCTTTTGATATCTCTTCTCCACCTTTGCATGATGTAACACTCTGGTAGGGCATGAACTCCATTACGCACAAGGACTGTGATGATGTGATTACAAACAATCCCTCTAAACTCAAATAAGTGGCACGTGCACATGGCTTTAGAATTAGGGATAGAATTATCGTACTCAACCACAACATGGACTGTTTTGAAAAAAACCCCATTCTCCATTTTGTCTTCACGGATATTGTAATGTATACCATCCTCACACCCTAACAGGTCACAATGCAACTTCCCGGTCATTTGAGCTCGAAACTCCTTGAACTTTGCAAGTGTGTACATTTGTTGCAACTCATGTTCCATGGCATATATACTCACACAAGGCAACATTTTGGTGAGACACTTAGCATCCTCTTGGAACTCTTTCTCTACTTTGCATTTCAACGCACGTCCGTATTGATCAACAAATTCCTTTAGACTTGTTTTAGAATGAACAAAGTCGTCAAAAAAGGCGTTAATGCTCTCACTCCGTTGGGTCGTTGACATCCCTGCCCAAAAAGTTGGCCTCAAGTAGCATGGCACCCACCGATGTCTTTCATTGTAAAGCACATGTAGCCATTCGTGGTCATTAAGATGAAACCTACACATTACAAAACATAAATGTTACAATAGTTGTAATATTGAACATAACTTGTACAAAACAAATGCTTACCTTTGCAACATAGAACTCCATGCGAACTCAAATTGTGCACCCGTTTGGGAGTCATAAACAGCATCATGTAAACAAGCACTAACTTCATCTTTATCAGTCAACCCTCCCAACTTCTCTGGCACCTTCTTCATTATATGCCATAGACACCACCTATGTCTTGTATTTGGGAACACAATTTGAATGGCATTTTGCATTGCCCTATCTTGATCGGTAATAATTCCACTAGGACAACAACCATCCATACACTCAAGCCACTTTGTAAACAACCACACAAATGTGTCGGTGTCCTCATTTGAAATTAAGCCACAACCAAACAAGATGGATTGCCCATGGTGGTTTACTCCTACAAAAGGTGCAAATGCCATGTCGTACTTATTGGTGAGATAAGTTGTATCGAAAGTTATCACATCTCCAAAATCTCTGTAAGCATACCGACATCGCTTGTCCGCCCAAAATACATTGCGAAGGCGAGATTCTTCATCTACATCAAGGGCAAAGAAAAAACCGGGGCACTCCGCTTGCATTTTGTAAAAGAAACTTTGAATTGCAATGGCATCACCATTTCCTAAACGCAAGCGGCGAAACTTGTCAACGTAGTTCCTACAATCCTTTTCAATGAACGGTAAATTCTCATAACCGCCGGCTTCTACTACGGCAGAGGTGTAGGTTTTGTGAAGAGGAATTCCGGCAACCGCATTTATTGCAATTTTTCTCTTCGCGCTCATAGTCAATCTCCTATTGCAACGAAAAGCTCTAGTTTTGGTAGGACTCATAGGGTGGTTATGTTGTTCATGCACTTTCGAAATAACCCATGACCCGGCATAGTCATACATTACTTTGATCCGGGCTTTGCAACCCATTGCACTAGTAGCTGCAGGCATCAAACAATTTGTTGACTTTGAAACTCTATTTCCAGCACGACCACATTCAATTAACATTCCTGTTACGTTTCCTTCTTTGTCTTTCGTTGAGCTCCTAATCCTAATGGGAAAACCTATACGTTTGGCGTAATTCTTATAATGATCATAGGCTTCATCTTTTCCCGCAAACAACATCCCAACTTCTACATGGACGTCTGGTGTACCACCATCTACATTAGTGTTATCCGGGTATGAGAGAACACATATATAAAAATTGATTATTAAAAATATAAACGTCTGTGGGCAAGCAATAGCAAAACACATTTACTTTATTTCATCTGTGTGCACAAGCAATAGAATATCAACATTTACTACATCAAAATACAATACGAATACAACACTTTTACTTCAAAATCATGGAGTGCCAATAATGAATGTTAGAGTATACAAATACAATGTCATTCAGTTCTACATGCACTGAAAACACGAAATGCCTGTCCTCACAGACATTACGTTCCACGTACCTTCTTCATCATCAACCTCCAGAATCTGCTTTTCCTCTCCGTCGCCGACGTCTTTCGTACTGGGCTCACCTTCTTGTGTCGCCGGAGGTTCAGACACGGAGCCGCCTTCGTCTACTTTAGCTCCCATAAAATCGTCCATGTCATAACTACTGATGAAGGCCATCTCCTCAAGAGTATAATCCATTCCTCAAGTCTAAGTATACTTCCTCCGTCGAGATGTGAAGAGAACAGGAGGAAGAAAGCTTCAGTGAACAGTTGTTTTGCTGCGTTTGTTTGCGTGCGAAAATAAGCAACGGGAAGGGGGAGTGGGAGGGTAAGAAAGAGAGGAGAGAAGGTGGGGGTAAATGGAATGGTAATTTTTGGGGGGTTTTTATATGATGTACAATATGTGTACATCTTGTGTACGCCAAGACAAATTGAAAATTCTTTAATGTCCGTGAATATGTTTATTTGTTATCCCACGACTACATCTTCAAGAATCAAGACTAAAATAATGGGACTAATCATTGCTGGTATTGGTATAAAAAAGTAATGATTTCACACACCATATACCACATTTGGAGAACTGAATAGATTTCAACACGTCCATCAAATACGTACATCAGATGCAGTTTTTTAGGGGCAACATGCCAACATAATGCAGCTGGGAAGTTCATGTAGTAATTAGTAAAGCACATCATGAACTCACAAGAGGTGGAAGGACTAAACAATAGGGGCACAACCTCCATGAAAAATTTCCAATTATGTTCATATGTATAATAATGTACTCTCTCCGTCCCAAAAAATTGTTCCCGGTTTCCTTTTTGGACCGTCCCAAAAAATTGTTCCACTTTCCCCTTTTGGAAAGTTTTTTGTGGCTACAATTCATTTACCTTTTTCTTACTCAACTATAACTATATATATCTACTTTATTCTCACTTTCTTAAACTCTGTTCCAAGTCAATGCGGGAACAATTTTTTGGGACGGAGGGAGTATCAATATTTTTAGTCTATAAAAAATAAATTGATGTTTTAAATTTCGACCACGACCATCTGATCAGTGATCATGTAAAGTGTTTAAAACACAACCAACAAAAGTACATACGTACGTAATAGTATAACACTTAAAAAATTAAATGTTGCTGGTATGATTTTCGATCTCCATTATTGAGGGCTTTCTTCTACGCGGAGTATAGTATAGGAGGCACTACTATTCTACTAACACTCGTGTGTGGACAGTGGATACAATGTCATGTTTTATTGTAAAAAGTACGTTCTCTTTAAGCCAGGGTGTTTGGTTAGCACTTAGCATTCATGTCCAAACACGTACGACAATCGATGTCGAAAACCCAATTGCAATTATCCCACTTAAAACTTTCGAGTTTTTTCCCGAAATAATGTTAATTAAATAAATAATTCCCAAAATACTGTTGGGTTAAAAATAATTCCCAAAATACTGCTGGGTTAACCGTGGTTAAGAAAAGCCGCCACTTGAAGTGGCGGCTCTTCTCTTACAGTACAAAAGCCGCCACTTCAAGTGGCGGCTCTTCACTTACAGTACAAAAGCCGCCACTTGAAGTGGCGGCTCTTCTCTTACAGCACATTTTGTACATGTATAAAACGCAGTATGTTTCAAGAATTTTTTAACTATCTTCCCGATTGAATTTTGAGCTGAAATTTTGTATGAATAGACTAGACTTGATGAGGAACATGCTCAAAAACATTTCATCAAAAAATTCCACTGGGAAAACCCTCTGGTGGTGTTGTCTGCACGGGGGTTCCGGTCAGGACGTCGTGACAAGAATAGGACATTTTTATGAAATTTGAGGTGCTTCCGAGTTGATTTTGTTGATGACATTTTGTGATCATGTTCTTTCTAAAGTGTAGGTTATGTTCACCGAATTTCAGATTAAATTTAAATCAAGAAGTTAGTTAAATTATTTATTGAAAAAACATGCATTTTTAGGCCTAAAAAATTGTGCAAATTTTCAAAAAATTTGTTTAACTAACTTCCCAATTGAAAGGAACCAACTTCAAATTCGAGCTATCACCGCCATCATTATGCCCTTAACAAACAATTCTTTCTCTTCCACTTGTTAAATAAATATGAACTCTATTTGGGCAGTTTATGGCCATTGGAAAAAGTTTCAACACTCGTATCAACTATTGCTCTAAGTTCCAATTGCAAAATCACAGTTTTGCGCAAT